GTTATATAAGGCACTGTAGTAGTAGTAATTGTTAAATTGTTAGAATTTTATTAATATTAATATATTAAAGGATAGTGGCATACTTATCAGGAATACACATTGAAATCTTGGCCATAGAAAGGTGTGAAGTAGCAACTTCCTCTCTTACATGGTGCAACAGAAACAGAAACAAATAGATTAGTCAATATACTTATGAATGCAATATTTGCCACCAGCTCTTAATATATAAGAAAGACAATCTATAATGGAAAATTAAAAGCAAAAGTATTTCCAAAACAATACCATGCTCACACAAGTGACAGAAAATCAAAAGTGAGCTTCAAGGTATACAAAACTTTTAAATCCCTCCTAAAATGAGAGGGTACGAACTTGGGAAGTTTTGAGAAACAAAGACATTCTCAATGGTAATTTATATTATTTATTTATTGAATTTTAATACTGCAGGACTCCAAAATGCCTCTCAGTGGTTTACATCTGAAAAAACATAAAATATGATAAAAATATAAAATCAGTACGAAATACAAATCTGCTATAATATAGTAGGCGCAATGGTCATCATACGTCTCAAAAGATCCTCCAGAACAGCTTCATCTTTCATAATTTTTTGAAGGCCGACAGTGGGGTGCTAGTTTAATTTCCAGAGAAAGAGAGATTGTTCCATATGGGAACCACAACTGAAAAACACTGACTCTGAACTGCCACCCCTTCACTATTGCTTCTGTGTAAAGAAGGAGGTCCTGTAGGTAAGTCATAGAATACATAGAATACTAAGGAAGGAGTGTGGGAAAAAAACGGGGGGAAAAAATGAAAATCCCGCACTACATTTTATTCATTATCCTACTTGATTATGTTTCATTTTTTAAAATTCAATTAGAAGTTCCCAAATTGAGATATATCTTTGTGCTAACATTTCTTGTTATTTTGATGAACATTTCAAAGAAAGATATGAAATTGAAACATGGATGAATAAGTTGCATGTCACTCACTGGAACACAGGCTGGAAAAATATTCCATTTTTAACATGGATAATCATCAGACTATGCAGGGATAATAAACAATATGGGTCATTTTAGCTATGTGAGCAACTAGAAATCTCCCTGATTTTTCTATCTGGCTTGCCAGTCTGTATCCAGATACCACTCCCTATTCCATCATGGCCAGTTCACTGACTTTCTGTGCATATGTATGTCACACAGCCAAACATGTTGCCTTAAAGGTGTATCTCTTACCATCCAATATCTCATATACTTACCTCATCTAGTAACATTTTAACTAAGCATCTTCCACAAGATTTCCTCACTTCCGACAGGAAGAAGGGACAAACACTAAATTGGCAGAAATGATGAAAAGGAGATATGTATCTCCTATGTTCAAGTCTTTAAGGTGACATGAAAAAAATATGTCTCAACAAAAACCATAGGTTCTAGAAAGCTGAGGTTCAAACATTGAAGCTGGAAACAGTCTCTCTTCAAACTAGCAAGGCAACAGCTCTACAGACGTTTACATTAGAAATAACACAGAACAGGTACATTGGTGTCCCGCAAATAGTGGCAATAATCCTTCCCATCATTGGAAGATTCTACCAATGGAATGTCAGAAAGCACCCTTTTCCAAGTGAAAGTATCAAATGCAATTTAAAAATTAGCTGAATCCAACCAAACCAAGACAAAGCATAGTGTCTTCATGGTCTTCTTGTATTTTGTGCATCAACTCTGTCTCAATTACCTTTCAATCCAATGCAGTTTAGGGATGATACAGCTGATAGCCAGCACTTCTCAAACCAACTGGAGCTCCTCTTAAAACTTACTAGAAATCATACAATGTTGAATTGAAAACTGGGGCAGAAGGAGCTTCAGTACCTATCTGGGCCACATTATTCTTATGTCACCTCCTGCAGTACTTTCCTTCTATTCTCTATGCTCTTGCTCTTTGTTCTCTTTACTACTTAATCATAGCATGCCCTTTATCATTCCTTTCAATGTTGTTTTTAAACTATAAGTTTTGACTTTTGCTTAGATGTCTGTTCCCCTTTCCCTTTTGCTATCTTGTGCATTTGAATTTCTTACCAGTTACTGGAAGCAATTAAATTGTAAAAGGAATCTTATTGCATTGCATGTTATTTTAGTTTCCAAGGATAAATATTTGATGTATCTTTTACTATATTTTTGCTTGAAAATGAATACAGAGAGTATACCAGAAGGACTTATATCAGAAAATCTTATTTATGTTTCTTAATCTAAAAAGGATCAGATGGTATGAATTTGAGGTTATCTTGAGGTTTTTTGGGGAGATGGAGCCAGAAGCAGACAAAATGTTGAACAAGTACATTCAAAAAGGATATTATAAAAATATACTTCAGAATAAAGCTAACTAAATTGAATGCTAATTAAACTGCAACTCATGCAAATCAGCCTACATTTCTTCTGAGACATCTCCCCTTGATTCTGTGTTATTCTGGCCTTCCATTTTTACAGTCAACTTCCAAACAGCAGAGCAATGAAAGTGCTCTGTGAAAGGAGGTGAGGAACAAAGGTACTGGGAGAGCTTTGCATGGAGCCATGGCTATAGCACAGCCTCTATCTATCCAGACTCTTGCAGGCAGGGGACGTTCGTGGCAGCAGATCAGGACCTGTTCATCTGCCTCTCCATGGGCATGCATTTCTGGAGGTCCCCTCCCGAAAGTTTTTACAGAGCTCTTTTAAGCCACTCTCTGGGTCCAATGGGGATTTGGACTTGCCAAAGCCAAAGAATTGGGATTTGTGCACCTTAGCCCATCTATACCAGCAGAGATGTGAAGTCCTCCTTCAGTCTGCTCCAGGATTCTGCCTCACTCTCTCTCCCCCTGGAGAGGCAGCCAATAAAGGCTGACTAGAAAGCAAGATGTGTATGGGTGTAGGAGATGGAAACTCCTAGAAGACTTGAAGAATGGATGTGGACAGCACTGGCAATAGCAGGAGAGACTTGTGAGTGATAGCAGGAGCAGCTTGACCTAACAGTGCTGCCAGAAGAACAGAGCTAAGCAGCAGATGCCCAGTGGGCCAAGGTCAGCAACAATGCTTGCAGCAAAGGGCAGGACCACATGCCCAATGGCAGAAGCCAGTCCCAGGTCCCAACTGAGCTGTGTATGGGCTAATTAACAGGGACCCAGGCAGATGGTGATGATCATTATAGGTTCACAAAAACCTTAACCCATGCCCTGGCAAATGTACTTACTCCTAGAGGACTGGGAAGAACCTGAGGAAAGGCCAGGAGTAATAGCCAAGTGGCACCACCAACTTCCAAAAACTAGAATCCAATTCTCCCTTTAAAGGACTGGACTGCATGAAGACAAGGGGGGATGGGGCCAGGGAAGAAATATCTATGGCATACCAGTAAAGTTCCCCAGTCATGGGGTTAGACTCACACTTCTTGTGTGCATGTCTGTTTTCAGTCATTCAGTCAAGAATCTACAACATATCCCAAGCTTCCTTATTCAGTACAGGAACAAATAATTACTTTCTTGGAAGGAGATCTGCAGATAATCCAGAAATTGGAGTGGCTATCTAAAAACCATATGATTACAATATGCCATTTATATGAAGCAAATAGAATGATTGAGGGGAAGCTCAATTGCTTTGAATAGCATCCAGAAACTTTAAATAGGGATCATGGCATGCGGAATGCCCTACTAAATCATAGGAAGGTACTTCCCTTCTAGCAAATATTTAAAATAATTGTTAGCCAGATGCATCCAGAAGTTTACAAGTAGGACATGGAGCTGAAATATAGTTCCTAATTTGTCTTTGTTGTTTTTTATTTAGAGGCTTGTTCTCACATCCTACATATATATTTGTGCTCTCTGTTTAAACAACTGCCTATATTTATTTTCCTGGTCTCTTCCATCCATCTAATCCACAGCGATTTTTCAAAATTAGAAACATTCATGCTACCTTTCTTCATTATAATCTGATGGAGGAAATTCAGCTCCAGATAGGCTGCTAGAAAAGAACACTGGCCTACCCTATTGCCATGTCAAATTATCTCCCTAAAAGGTTTTCTATGTGAATAGCCATAACTGTCCTTGGCTAAACTAAGCCGCTCTTTCTAAATATTTGGAATACACACCCATATAAAATTCCTGGAAGTAGCGGAAAAAAGCAAGCAAACGTTCAGGAAAAATACAGGAACTTCAGGAACTGTATCATAACAAAGCAAAAAAAGATATATATTTTTTATGTAGAACACTGATAAATACATTTTGAAGCTTTTAAATATATTATTTGTATGATTATCCAGAGCACAAGATTCACAAGATTCTGCCAATAGAAGCAGAGAAAACGGCAAAATTATACTTCACAGAATAATAATAATAATAATAATAATAATAATAATAATAATAATAATAATA